TTAGATTTTCTTACAAAACATGCCCTTCTCACGTGCAGGAAAGTTGTGGATGCCATGACTTGATCAATAAAGTCATGAACATTATGATATTTAAACATCAAGGAATATTTTAGGTGTATAATGTTATGTATAATATTGCAAAAATTGAACATGTAAGTTTTAACACAAAATTTGTATTTACAATCTAGAATTAATTGACAATAAATGAAGTGACATTTTTTATATTTAATTCATTTTTTTTTCTAATATAAAATTTTCTTACTTAACACGTCATCCACGCATACAGACTTGGTATGAATTACAAGTTCTATCACATGAACATCATAATAACATAAGGGTTTAATATGCCCTTTAGAAACTTTGAGTCCTCTTAATATGCATTGAATTTTGAAATGGATGCTAAACTTTGGGTCATGGCATATTGACCATAAGACTAGCTATATGAGCAAGTAGGAACCAAAGCTAAAATAACTTCCTCAAGATCTACACAATAGTCCCATCTAGGTTAAGCTTGTGAAAAATTGACCTGTAGGTGAAAATACAAGGCTTGCTAAAACCAATTGGCTTGTCCCAATCCTAATATCCTATCTGAAGGGTTAATATTGAGTTTTATGGGAAAGAAACTTCGCATGCACTAACATCATGTAAAAGTTTGACATGTGATTCAAAACACAAGATTTTTTCCTACTTAAAATCAATTAGTAATAGGTAAAGTGGTCCCCTTGTATTTAAGGCATGCATTTCTTGGTTTTATCTTTGATGTGGAATTTTACCTTTCAACAAAGCTTTAGGTTGTATCCATGGAGCTATTCTCTCCTCAAGGGCTTAATTACGTTGCTAATGCAATTTGTGCCCTATTGGCTCTAGACAAGGCTACACAGACTAGAACAAAGGTGGATTTTGTCGAAGTTTTTCTTGAGATTGATGTTGCATCCACTCAAGATCATCACCCTATAGAGTATCCTGTTGATATTGAGGAGTGTCTAAGCACATATTGTGTTTGAAAAAGGTTTAGATTTTACACAAAGAAGATCTTTAAAAGATTAAGCATATATTGACCTTGTCAACTATCCGTAAATGGTTTGAAGCTTAGGCCAGGTTCTGTGTAGACTTCTATAGTTCTTTTATAAGTTAAGTGGTGGGCACTGCAGTTTGGGGTTTGCTTTATGTTAGTATGATTTTTGTTTAGGTGCCATCTTGAGACAATGTTGAGTGAATCACCCTATTCTTGAAATGCAATTTTAATATGAAGATGATTGGTCCTCAAGATCATAGTTTTGAAAACCAGATCGGATCAGCAAGTCGGATCGGTTGAATTGGTTCCTGATAGTATAAACAATTTGGGTGCACCCTTTAAACCATTTGAAACTGATAAGAATCGTTGAAATCACTCAAATCAATAAACCGTTCAACCAAATGGTTCAATACTTGGGCATAAAGTCTTGAGAAATTTGTCTCCCATGGGGCTTGAACTTGTAACCTTGAAGCCCTTATTGATTCTTTGCCACCAAAACAAGGCAAT